TTTCATTAAACAAACATTGACAGTAAGCTTCCCCAATCTGTCACTTTTGGTTGTATTTGTCGGTGCATGGCTGGCAACGTATTCTACCAGGGAGAGACTGGTTTATCATTTGGCGAACGGGACTGTGTGTTTCCTCATCACTCTGTATGTCGTGTAAAATATTATTAATCTAGATATAAACAAGAAAAGCAACTGCTAAACAAACTATTCTCTTATTACAAGCTAATGAAATAAATATTGATTATTAGTTTACATGCTATAGTGAATTCTCAAGAATCTTTAGAAATACAAGATATATCAGAGGTAGTATTTCAGCAAGGATCCCATTTAATTTTGTCCAAGGAATTCTCTGAAAAATGTTTGCAAGATCTGCAAGATTATTTCAAAAGAGAAATTACAATGTAATAATACACTTGCACGAATACATGGACTGGCCAACTGCAATTCTAACGACAACAATACTAGGAAGAACGCTATTCACTCTGCCATTCGCTTACCTTCAGCAACAGCGGAACGCAAAACTGAAAACAGTTCAACCGCTGATTAGTGCATGGAAGACGACCCTTGTAAAGCAGCCAGATGCAGAATTAAAGTATAGAAAGAAGCTAGCAGAGTTGAAACAGACGTTCGATATCCAAGCCTGGAAATCAATCTCATTGCCGTTTTTACAAATTCCATTTTTTGTTTTTATGACAATGCAAGTTAGACAGGTTGTCGGATCAACTATATTTGAGGACACTGTTTTGCCAGGTGTAAAAGAAGAAGGGATACTTTGGATGGAGGATTTATCGATACCTGATCCTACACTTATCGCGCCTATTTTGATTGGATTGTTGCATCTGGCTAATATTGAATTCAACAAGATTGGGAAAATGTTTATGCGGATTTTGTCTCTTGTTTCTGTTATTGTTGCCAGTCAAGTAAGTAGTGGGATAGTGTTTTATTGGGTATGCTCTGCCTTGTATTCGCTTGTCCAAAATCTTTTATTCCATCAGTATTTCAAGCCGTAGCTGGTTGTGCTATGCAGACTTGCTGTGTCTTTCGACCTATCTTGCCAAAACAGTAATAAACCCATATACAAAATCAAAATCAATTTATTTCCAATTTATAAGTATTTTCTTCAAGGATATCATCCAGTCGCTGCTTGATTTCATTCAATTTACTACTTTCAATAAACAAATGGGTATCATCTAAATCTTCAATCACAAACTTCATTTTTGAATCCAGGTCCATTATTATGGTTTTTACAGACTGATCGCATTCTACCAGGACTCCTTTTATAGCTTTTACCATTTTGGTTTTTTTTAAATGGAATTGAAAAAACTGATTGAGGAAGTTGGAGGTCAGTCGCCAGTAGAGACTGTTGTGGATTCGTCAGTTGAAGTAGAAAAGGTATCAGGGAAGAGAAAGGGAGAGGAACTGCCTTCCATGCTCTACATCAACAAACCGAAAACATTCAAACCAGATACTGATATTCTATCCCGGGTACAAACTTTCCTTCCACAACTAGAGCAATCAAATAACGAATTGCAAGAAAAAATCAAACAGAATATCGATGTGAATTTGGAGAACGTTGATGGCAAGCACATCCAAATGGATTTAGAGTGCGGAGTATTTGATATGAAGGAGGGAAATTATCAGTATGATTCCACACTTGTGCAGGAGGAAGAAGAGTACAAGCTTAGATTGGGGAATGAAAGACAGGTTGAAATTCAGGAAATTCAGCAAGAAAAGGAAGAGGAAGAGTATGAAGACGATGATTATGAGTCAGAGTCAGAGCAAGATAACGGTAGCGAATACGAGCAGTCTGAAAGTGAATACGAACCAGATGGCGATTACAGTGATTGAATAATAAAATACTTGCTTAGTTTGTTCCATCAAAGAAATTTGGCAGATTTTAGTTTTTCTACTTTCGCATTGGTATTAGTCCTAATCGTGCGAGTTGCTTACTGCTTGGATACTGAACACAAGTTGCACATCCTGGTAGTGTGGTTATTAGTAATTCTAAAATTACAAGCAATCCATACAGCTCCCCACTTGCTACGGTCAAGTTTGATTGATCCTAATACTATGAAAATTATCACAAGCGGACGGCTAAATAAATTCTCAAACCAAAAACAAAAAAGTGTATGCAAGAAATAAAAATCCGGGCAAGGGCAACTTCAAAGCAACCGCTGCAAAAACAGCCAGAAGAGAAACCAATCAAACTTGCCAGGTATGCAGATTACAAGCAATTTAGTAACCATGAAAACTCTATCAATATTTTCACAACTACCAGAAAGTACGCTCCCGTCTGGTTTGGTGATACTGATTATATCTTGCATGGATACAGAAGACAAACAAATTCTTTTCGGGGATGTATTTTATCTCTCACTTACCTTCACAATGAAACAGGGAACGTTTATACACACTTGATTGGATTATTAACTATATTCCCATTGATTTACTTTACATTTTTCCAATGGATGACTAGCGAATCAACGAGTATCTACGATTACCTCGCTCTAACTCCGTTTTTCATTGGATCTATTGCATGTCTAGGATGTTCAACTGTATTCCACCTGTTCACCTGCCATTCTAGACACGTATCTGTGGGTTGCAACAAAGCGGATTACGTTGGAATTGTATTTTTGCAAGTGTAAGTTGATTTTAAATTAGCGGGTCGTTTGTGCCGTGTCTGTATTATGGATTTTATTGCGATTCTTTTTATAGGACATTGTATTTGGCTGCTATCAGTGTGTGCGGTGCTTTTACTGTATTTGGTTTTAATGTAGATTTATATTACTTTGGGGCACAAGTATGCTACACCGCAGTATCGTTGGTTGCGAACTGGTGTGTTTACTCTTTTGGGATCGCTGGGAGTGGTTCCGCTATTCCACCACGTATGGCGATATGGAGTTAATATGGCATTTGAGTCATTCGCTGTTGAATACGTCTTGATAATGGGTGCTTCGTACTTGGGAGGAGCTTTTATTTATGCTTACCGTATACCTGAACGTTGGATCCCGTATGCTTTTGATATATTTGGCCACTCTCATCAAATATGGCATTTGTGCGTGTATTCAGGTGTTATTAGTCATTATTTTGCGGTCTTTAGAATGTACTATTGGTGGCATAATAACAACCCTCAATGCTTGGTTTCCGATCAAGAAATGATCAATTGGTTTAATAAATGATCTTGACTGATTTTATTAGCCACAAATTTCTTCCCAAAAATGAATCAAAATGGGAATAGGACCTTTTGGATTCGATATGGGAATAACCTTACTGTTCAAATACACACTAACTTTCACCCGGATGGAAAAGAGAGAGGATTACCTCTTTCGAACGTCGCCGATTTAATTGGAGCTTTTCTAGCAGAACCAGAACGAAAAAGTATCTTTGGTTTACCAGAAAACGTAACACTGCATATTGGTAATAATAATATTTGACTATAGGGAACTTGGAGAATGATGCTCTTAAAGGCGGCCAACTGCTGACAGAATTGACCTTTGGAAATACGGAAGACACAGCACTATTAATTGATACAAAACAGGAAACAATTAGGAGGTTTCTATCGAATATTCTTGAACCAGTCGAAAAAGCGTTGGAAGTAAAGTCTGGCACTCAGACCGAAAGAGGTCATCCGAGAACTCCAAAGTATATGGGACGCTGGGAAGCTTTCAAGTCAGACGCAGCAAACTATTCATATCCTAATACCCGAATTGGAAATGATGTCAAGTTACCGGGTACTTCAACTGTTGAAATCGGTTCAGAAAAGGACGTTGACACGATTATTCATAATCATTTACATAACTTCAATAGGATATTTAGGGATGAAGGAAGAAATTGCAAATTCGTGACAAAAGCGCAGGCATTTACTGAAAACCCAAGTGAGGGAAATAACTGTGTTAAATTTATTGGAAAGCCAGATTTTTTATTAACATTTGGTCCGAAAGTTGTGTCCTTTATTGAAGATAAATCCCCTGATACATTGCCTGTGCAAAAAAATGAAAATGAACTGTTTGATTTAATCGAAATGTATAGGAAAGATAGGAAATATGATAAAAGCTCCAACACTCGACCTGAATTAAAAAGAAAGGAGGTTTTCACAGTGATCAAGCAAGTTTATGGATATTTAGCATTCAACAATCTAAAGTATGGATGCGTGACTTGTTATGATGTAACATATTTTTTGCATAGACCAAGTGAAGGAAGACTTCTTATCAGCGATGCAATATACCATTATTCCACGTCTCCAACACTATTACAGTCCATTTATTATTTTATTCGTCTAGTAGTTGGAAATAATAGTAACGGCATTGAATCAAGTCCAAATGACGGTGCAATGCCTTATACAGAATTTGATGATGATGTGGAGTCGTCGTCTGATGAATCGAACTCTCAAGAACATATGGAGATTGATGATTCACAAGAAAAATCAGATAATTGCAGCAATTACTCAACAGACATGAACGTTAAGCTCAAAAGATACCATCTTGATATCAATGCACTTAGAAATGGAACATTTGTTGGTTCTGGAGCAACTGGGTCAGCAATTCGATTAAAAGACACCAACATTGTTGTAAAATGTTGTGACACTTTTAATAATCGTGATGGCTATCAAATGTTGAAGAACGAGATCAAAATATATCGAAAATTATCAAATTACAAATTAAAGTGTGTTCCAAAGTATTATGGGGAATGCGAATACTTTGGACAACACTTCATTGCGATGGACTTTATTCAAGGAAAACACTGCGACTGGAGAGGAGATGATGTTTTAAAGAAAAAGTTGGGAGAGGCGGTAAAAGAATTAAAATCTGTCGGTGTAGTTCATGATGATTTGCGACCAGAGAATGTTATTTTGACTGCTGAAGGAGATATCAAATTAATTGACTTTGGGGTTGCAAAAATGATTTAAATGTGAATAAAGCTTTGTATAGGTTGAATTTCAGCGCGATTCGATATCCAAGTAGACGTGTAGCTTTGCAAAAATGTTATTCGGATCCAACAAAAAACTCTTTGTCGGGGAATCGAACCCCGGTCTTCCGCGTGACAGGCGGAGATACTAACCACTATACTAACAAAGACACAAGATTTCAATTCCAAATTACACCCCGAATTTTACCATAAATAAAAATGTCTGAAATTAGAATTAGATCGAGACAGTCATCCAGAGACCCCTCAACAAAACTGCGTGCGGTAACCACAAAGATCCAAGAAGCCACTCAGCCGCTAATATCACCAAACATCACTGCAAAACCACAAGTACAAATATTATCACGATTGGTAGATTACAAACAGTTTGAAAATGATTACAGGAACTCAGTTAATATTTATACAACGACTATAAAACACGCTTCTATCTGGTCCTGCGACAACGAATACATACTTACCGGTTACAGACGCCAAACAAATTCATGGACAGGATGTATACTATCGCTATTGTACTTGCATAACGAAACAGGAAACGTTTACACGCATCTGTTAGGCTCGCTATCACTCTTCCCGCTCATGTATTATACGTACTTTTATCGGATGCAGGAGTTTGATACGAATACCGTTTATGATTACTTGAGTTTCTTTTCGTTTTTTAGCGGTGCGTTTGCTTGTCTTGCTTGCTCGACTGTGTTCCATTTGTGTACTTGCCATTCTAGAAGAGTTTCTGTTACTTGTAACAAAGCTGATTATGCGGGGATAGTATTTCTAGGAGTGTAAGTAAGATTAATTTAGTGGACAGTATGTGCCCTGTATTTATTATGGATTTTACTGTGATTCTTTCTATAAGCCTGTTTACCTGGTTTGCTCGATTCTTATTGGGGCTTTGACAGTAATTGGTTTTAAGGTAGATGTATATTACTTTGGGGCACAAGTATGAAACTGTGCAGTACAGATGGTTGCGGACAAACATATTTGTTTTTGCTGGTGCAACTGGAACTATTCCGTTGTTGCACCATATATACAGATACGGCCTTTCAATGTCGACCCACTCGTATTCCTTTGGAGATTTATTGATGACGTGGAGCCTATATCTTATTGGAGTGGTATTTTACATTCTGCATATTCCAGAAAGATGGGTTCCTACCAGGTTTGATATTTTTGGCAGTTCGCATCAGATTTGGCATTTATTTGTTTATTCTGCTGTGATTGCGAATTATCTTGCGATTTATCGAATGTACAGCTGGTGGCATACAAGCAATTCGCAGTGCGTTCATTCAGATCAGCAAATGATTAGCTGGTTCAAGAAACATTGAATAAATTGCAATCTTTATTTAAATCTATTGGTTTGACAGTGTAATTGTTTATCATTTCTACAGTGTTATTGCCCAACTGCATGACAAATTTGACTTGATGATTCTGAATGGCAGTGTTTTGGATGGTCAATGTCTATTGATACAGCAACGAGTGCAGAAAACAGAGCGGCGATTAACAGTTTAAACATAATTTGAATTCCCTTTTGATTTTCTTATAGAACAATTACGAAATGCCGTCAATTACAGTTTGCGAAATTTTGTGATCTCTCGGTAAAAGCACTCTTTGCACAAAATTCGGTGAATGACAGCCAAAGAGCCACAAGCGGCATTCAGTGTGATGAGTGCAACAGTTACACTGCTCCAACCAGAATTCCTGTACTTTAATTGCGTTGAAGTGTTGAAATAACGAGTCATAGTATCACCAATTGGGTACGGCTGACTAGAATAAGATAATATGATTAAATAGTTTTATTTTGATGGTGCATTAGGAATAGTGTCAGCTATATAGCAAATTTGGCTGGAATTATTATTGTTGCAAGGAGTTGGCAGAGAGAAGGCAGCGGAAAGTATAACGATTAATTTGAACATTATCTGTACCGCGTCAAGTTACATTTCTTTTATATTTCATTTACCGCTTACGAAATGCAATGCTCCTTCAGAACTTGGGTACAATTAAAAGCAGTCACAAACTCGGCGGATTCAAGGCGTAAAGAATATTGCGATTCGTAAATGGAAAGGCAGTAATCTGGTAGTACAGACATGGAATAAAAAAGGAATATATTCAACAGCACTAAGTACTTTTTTCATCATCGGAATCACTGTTGCTTTGCCTTACCCACTCTTCATTCCGGAAAATACCAGCAAAATGAGGACTGATTCTACGAGTTTCAAGCGATAAATCACTGCTCCCATCCCCGTCTTTCAAATAATTTGAAAACTTTTGTTCGATTGATAATTGCGTCTCGCTTTTAGATGAATTGTTTTTGAATAAACATTTTTTGAATGATGGTTTGTCGCAAAACTTTTCCCATATACTTTGTTTAGCTTCGGGTTCTTTGCTTGGAATGATGAATTTTGGACTGTTCTTGGTTTTGTCTTTGTCTGTGTGTCGTCTTGCAAGTGGACTGCCTTTTCCTTTGACTGCGCTTTTTTGTATCTTTTGATCTTCTATATTTTCATTCAACTTTCTCATAGAGTCATTCAGCGAAGAGAATGAAGTTGCGTGGACAGATCCAAGTCCGTCGCAGCTATCGCCATGTCCAGCCCGCTGCTTTTCAATATGATTTGCAAAAATTCTATTTGGTTTGCGAACAGCTTTCTTTTCATGTTCACTCTTAATCTTTTCGCCTAGTGAAGAATTGGTCAAGGGTGTACTAGAATCTAATCCTCTTTTTGAAGTGTCAACGGGTGCAATTATAGCTATGGACATGGCAACTGTTGGTATCGCAGTGTAGATTGAATAATAGAACTGAGGGTTTTCAACGGATTCAAAGCTGAAAAACAAGTAAGCTACGTTCGCAATAATAATGCCAAGGTAAAGCCGGCATTCCAAATCCCACAGCGAGTAGAATACATTCATGAATCCCTCCTTCCTTTCCTTTGCGTAAATCACATATTGAAGTAATATCGACATTTCCACCAGGATATTTGTACCGATATCGAAATAAAGTGCACTACTGTCAAAGCCACTAGAACAAAAGTAGTATTCATCAAACATATCTGATGATTGCGCGTTAACATCATACAGGGCTTTGAAACATGACAGGATCTTCAAGGAATACCCACCAACAAGTGCAAATGTTCCGAAACTGTTGTTCCTTGAAAAATGTGCTACTTTCTTCAATTGGCCAAGTACACAAATGATCACCCCAACAGAAAAACACAGATAGACAAGTTTCCTTCCAACCTGGCATTCAAAAGAATTGCCAATCGTGTCTGAAAAGAGTATACAGCAGCTGAACCCAAGGATATAAAACAGCATGGAGCCAGTGTAATACACCCGCTGCCGTTTAGGAATATAATGCCATCGATACCCAGAATACAGCACAACCGCGTACAAGTAAACCAAAAAGAACGAGTAAACGTAAAAGTTGTCAGGACCTAAAATCATTCTAATGAACTTTTTTATTTTACAATGCGTAAATACATTTTTTTGTTTACAAATAATGGAAACCTCATTGTTCAATAGACAATTGGATTTATTATTTGCCAAACATGTACTTGTACCAGAGAGTCAGAATGTCTTTGAATGCCAATTCTTTTTGTAACGGGGTGGATATCGATTTGGTTGGTGTGCTATGCAATGGATGGAACGGTTTCTTTGTCACTGATCCCATTATATATTGCATATAGCCTGTCTTTGTACGAGTACTTTAAAAGATTTACAAGTCCCAATTCGCACAACATCAAAGTGGATATAAATTTATTCGTTTTTTAATAGAGATTCGATAGCAGAGTCAATATCTACCCATGGATTGATCAAGTACCAATTTTGGAACAGTCCTGATTTAATAGTACTGGTAAATGGTTTTCCAATTACGTGTAAATGCAAATGGGGAACAAATACAAATGGAGGAGCATGGAATCCAATCAATTGATCCTCAGGTTTGATATTATTTTGGGTCAATAGTTCGATTGCTACTTGCTTCATGTTTTTGAGCATCTCTACATCCGAGTTCTTTAATTCCTTTATATTGAGGATGTGCTTTTTGGGGATAAGCAGCAAGTGGACTGTAGCTGCTGGGCTGTGGTCATTGAAAGCGACAAATTGCTTGTCGCTGTGCTTTACTGTTGCAGAATCATTCTTTTCGACAATCCCACAAAAAATGCAAGTCATAAAATAAAGTGCTCATGTTAAGGTATTTGATCATGTTTGAAATAAAGTTTGATTCCAAAACGCAACGCTTAATAAAGTGTAATATAAAGTTTATATGCTCAATCCACGATTTACTTTTTCAAACTTTTGAAATTGAATGCGCTTTATTGCGCTTCTAATACTAGCAGCTGCAATATTATTTTCGCCATACATCAGACACTATCTGTACGAATCATTCATTATCGTGGAAATCATTTGCGTTAACCACTTATTACATCCCCAGTTGGACAAGTTACTCGGTTGCGAATCAGTTAGGATGACAACCTCAAAACAAAGATGTGTATTTTGCGATATTATTAAACAAAACGGACCAAATAAAATCATTTATAGTGATGAAGAGTTTATTGCCTTTGCAGATATCAACCCAGCTGCAAAATCCCACTATTTACTTATTCCTAGACTGCATATAGGTAATCATTCCTTATTGTAGCGACAGTCAAGCAATTAGGACCTGCTCATATTCCCATGCTCCAGAACATGACACGGATAGCAAAGGAAATTATAAAGACAAACTTGGTGTTGGGATTCCATGTACCGCCATTCAATTCAATTGATCATTTACATTTACATATAATTGAACGGCCATTCAAGAATATGTTTCGTGGAATGAAATATCCAGATTCAAGGTTTTGCAATTGGTTTATTCCTATTGAAAAATTGATTGATGCTTTAGAAAGAGGGAAGCAAAAGTATCAAAATAACTTTACTTGGGATTGGGATATTTAATAAATGAGTTTGTACAAATATTTGGCGTTAAGACTAAGCATAGACTATTAACTCTGGAAAGTTAAAGTATGGCCATTGATAGCCTGTTCCCCAATGTTCTGCAACTGGTAAAGCAAATGTTAGTGCTAGAAATCCAAAGCAATTTCGACATGTGGTTCACTTCTACTTTTGGATGGTTCGAGATCCATGCGAAACAAACTAGGATTCAGCACAAAATAACCAAGAATCTACTTTT